GTTCTACTCAATCTCCCCTGTGACGCTCACACGCTCCTGTCTCTGTGGTGCGGATCAGTACGGGAAGCCATCGGTACCTTCTCGGGTACTTTATTTTTGGATATCAGGATGCTACAAGTTGCCTAACCCTCCCTTGAGCTATAAGAGAATTCCCTCCCCAGGCCCTGGCTGAGACCATAGAGGCTGGATGCCCTGGGCTCCTGGGAAAGGGAGGCTATGCCTGAGTCTGGAGTTGAGGGGAGTCACAAGTCAGAGTGGCTAACTAGGAGTTTTCTCTAGCTGGGTGTTGGCTGTTGCCTCTGAGGAAGCTGGGAGTTTTAAGACAGTTCAGGACCCTGCTGGGAGAGCCCAGGGGGAGGATAGCTCATTGCTGCTGCAGCTCACTTAGGTTTGATTCTTCACTTTGGAAACCCTGCCCCAACCCATTTCCTGCTTGCAGCCCAGCTCATATACATAAGGCCAAGAACTACCCTAACACTCCTTTGTGACAGTGATATGCCTTTGCGCAAGTCTCCGAGCCCAGAGCCCTCTTGCCTTACCTCTGTACCTGTCCCCTCCACTGGGCTGTAGTGGTCAGTACTGTGCAGCTGTGTGTGTGGGGGGGGGGGCGGTGACGGATGCAAGCTCATGGCTGAGATTATCTACCCTTCAGAATCACTGCCACTTAGATCAGGGACCACAGACATGGCACTCCAGCCCATCTCTCTGCGAGTGTGTGCCTTGAGCACAGGTGTTAGAAGTGCAGCTTTAATCTCTCACCATCTAGGCCCTGCCTAGGGGTCTCCACTCAGTAATGGGCTGGCTTTGCTCATGAGAAACCTGCCCCCCATAAGACCTTAACTGATTTCATAGATTTTCCAACTCCTGAAAAGATAGCCGAGACATGTTCAAAGTCATATGATTGGCAGTGGGAGGTGAGGGGTAGGAGTAGGAGAGTAGGGTTGGGGGGGGGGGTCGTTCATTTTCATCCTGGACAAGCGTAGGCTGAACCGCAGTGTTATCATACCGACCGTTAATAAGGATGGAGTTGCCCAAATGGAGTTCTTCAGCCCCAGCTTTGCTTTGGAAGTATCTGAATGCAAGCATGGCCCTTTCTTACAGCTACAGTGAAGTTTCTTTTAAACTAAACAGTCAAGTTAAAGGAAATTGGCATAGGTTTACATTATTACTCCCGAGTGTATCAGGGTGTGGTGTGTGTGTGTGTGTGTGTGTGTGTGTGTGTGTGTAAGGGAAGCAAAGTCATGCTTTTGAACTTGAGACGTGACTAGAAAGAGCTCCAGAGTGTTGGGATGAACAATAGCGTTGTTTCCTTTTCCCACCCTGCATTTAGTTGAAGAGGTAAAATTCTGTTGATTTTCTAATTAGCCGTTAGAAGGAGGTCCAGATACACAAGGAAGGAAGAATTTGAGATGTGAGGTTCCCAAAACTGCAGGAGCAGCTGGCAGGAATCAAGTTTGGCTGAGCCTGTCTAACTTACTCAGTCCCAACCCAGGATCCCTTGAGTCTAGGACCTTTGGATCCAAGCTTTGGTATACCTGAGAGAGCGGGAGGGTGTTCTGTTTCCTCAAGGGCCACCTTGTGAGCAGAGGCCAAGGATGAAATCGGGGACCAATGGAGGTGCACAGACTGCGAGTGGATAGGGCTAGAGGAGAGTGAAGAAGTGCGTGGGGAAGATGATGGTTGTTTAAAAGCTTGTGAAAGGGAGAAGTAGAAGAATTGGAGAGACTGTGAATGGATGGATGCTGACTTGAGACTCATGGAACACTTTTGCCCTTGGTTTCTGCCTTCTTTGACCCTCCCCTTCTTCTCTGGAGAATTCATTCATGTGCTGGTACCCTCCCTGGTAAGAACTAAACCTGTACACACTTGCTATGTGGAAATGGGACACAAAGAGTGGACCTAGTGGTCTTGTGGGGTCACCAGCCACCAGCCCTCCATGGAGGCCAATGGACAGCACAGGCAAGGCTGCAGATCTGATCTCCCAGCAGCATCCTCCGCCTTCCTTGCTTCTTGCTCTGCTAACTCAACTCTGCCTTTCTCCTTCCTTCTACTCTGCCCATACTCTTTGTGGAGGACAAACGGACACCAGGGGTTCCTTATTGAAGCCTGCCCCAGGTGCCAGAAAGCTCTTGGGCGTACAAAGCTTCTCAGCTGCAGAGGCAAGACAGAATTTCTCTGCACAGGATGGACTGCCTATGGGAACTGAAAACTATATTCCTTATCTTCCTGCTTATATTGATGCTGTCTGTAAAAACCTTTCTGAGCCTCATTCCTCTCAGCTAACCTTGTTTATGAGTTGTATTTCTTTAGACTCTGCTTGACTGCTTTCCCATCCCCCCCCCCCCCCGCTAGCCCTCTGCTTCCTGAAACCGTTGTGTGTCATTAACTGTCGGATCAGCTCTCTGGGAAATGATTCTGTTGATGTAAGTGCACTTACTCCCTGGATGTTGTCACTAGTTAGTGGCTTTTGCTAAATAAACCTTTCTTATTTCTAAAAGCTTTTCCGTTGTCTCTCCTTGCTTCTTCTATTTAACCCGCTTCTCTGTCCCCTTCCCTCGCACCCACTTCCTAAGCTAGGTATCGTCAGCTCTGGGACACAATATAGAAAGAATACATATTTCCTGGAGGGAAGGAGCCAGGTAGATCCTTGGTTGCAGGGACTGTGAATCAGCCCTGCAGGGTAGGACAGTCTGCTGTTGTTAACTGGAAATAATTTTGCTGGGGGACATTTGACAGTGTTGTGATGCTTCCTCATTGCTCATAGCTAGGGGATAGATGGTTTTGGCATATAGAGGGTGGAAATCAGAAATCCTACCATACATAGGAGAGCCTTGACAAAGAATTATCTGGTCCAAGGCCATTAAAACAGAGATTGTAATCCCCCAGCCTCTACCCAGTTTTTCAGATTCTTATGACCCCAGGTCTTTTCAGACTCCAGATACCATTAGAGTATGCAGGTAGTGAATTTGTTAAAAAAAAAAAAAAAAAAAAAAAAAAAAAAAAAACAAAAAAAAAACAAAAACACTATGTCATTGTTTCTACAGTATCTAGGATCAAAATTATGCAATTTTACTGACTCCCGAACTCTGAGATTGCTCTTTGGTAGTTGTCCCAAAGTGCCCATTCCAACCAAGTGCCATACAGAGAACAAAACAAGCTCCTCCTCATTTCTTCCCAAAAGTATTGCAGTGACAAGGATTCACCGATAAATCCTGGCATGTGGGAGTATGGGCCTCACGATGCAGCCTTTACTTTTCTGACTTCCAAAAACTGGGACTTTTGGCTGTTTTGAAGGCAGGCAGCTGTTAAGTCTGGTGCTTTGTCAGGCCCAGGCCAGAGGCAAGACCAGGAAGGCCATTAACCAGGTTTATGTGCCCTCTATTCTCCTCTGACAGTGAAGTGAACTGGGCTGTTTCCTCACCCGTACACTGGGATGGTGCCTGCCCTATGCAGCTTTCATGAGAGCATATGAGATTGCATTATAAAGACCCCAGCAGAGATAGCTAACACCACTCCAGGGGACACAGTACAGCATCTTAGTGCGCTTCCTCCTTCCCACACCTGTGCTGGTAGGTACAGGAACTGCTGGGCACCTTTTTCTATGTTCTAAAACTACATGGGGCTTGGTCCTAGGTTATGGAGTTATGATGCCTTTCGGTATATTAAATGCAAAATGTTCAAGGCACCTTCCTGTCCCTAGGTAGCAATGAGCACAGGGTGGTCCCTTCTCTAGTCCCGGTGGCCGGTCTTCCTCTTGGCTGCTTGGGTCTTGTAAGGCAGAGGTCCCATTCATTTCCCCAGGCCGTGGTAAACCCAAGAGGCCTCTCCTGTGTATGCTTCTCACTGTGCCTGCTAAGGAGCCCTATCAAAGGGACATGCCATATATGTACAACCACACATGTTAAGATGCCACCTTCCAGCGCTCAGTGGCTTTTCCAGTTAAGAAACACAGCATGGGTGCTAGAAAGGCTCACCAGCTACATATATACCTTGGGGGATGGTATCCAGGGAGTGATGTCAGGTTGCCTAGAGACCACCTGGCTTCTGAGTGGCCAGGTTTGTGGCCTAAAAATCCCAGCTCTTGAGCCTGACAGTCAAGACTCTACTCTTGCTGAGAAGGGAGGGCACAGAAAAAGCCGTGAAATACAGGACTTGATGAAGAGTCAGGGTTGCTCTCACAGTATGTTGTGTAATGGGGATTTGAGCACAGCATTTTTCGTGCTGGGGAAACATAAGAATCATGCCTGATATTTTGACAACACAATTATACACAGAAGCCGCGCTGCTGAACCATAAAGTCGGGCTCCAGGAAGGGTCTTCGTGTATCATGGGAAAAACAAAGAAACTAAAACAATTAGTACCCAGTCCCCGAAAGGAAGTGCCCCAGTCTTCTTTCTGTTTCAGATTAGCGGAGAGGATGGCCCTGAAATGGAGTCAGGGTCAGGACTGTCCAGCTGGTGCATTGTATGGGGACATAATACAGTGTTATCACAAGGTTGCTTACCTATTTTGAAATGACTCAAAACAGCCATAGAAATATATCCCCTGGGATAAGCGTAATTCTGTCTGTTTTAGCAAGAGGTACACACTCCGAGTCATAGTCATGGTACATGGGGTGGAGACAGCCCATACTCCTTGTCTCTTTCCTGACTTATGCCCAGAGTCATATACTCCTCTTCAGAGGTACAAATCCGTCAAAAGGTTAATATCTAAGACACCTTTCAAACTACAGGAATTCTTTCTCTGCCCTTTGTCCTCAGTGTGGGCAAGGACTGTTCCTATAGACCAGCACCCTGGAGCAGTGGTTTCTTTCAATCTGAATCACTTCAGAGTCATCATGGAGGATGGTTATGACACAGCTGGTCAGGCTCTTTCCCTGGAGTTTCTGACCAAGTAGGTCTGAGCATGATTTAAGAATTGTTTCTCTTATTGATTTCCAGAGGAGGCCGCTACTGCGAGTCTGGGTACCTTGCTTTCATGGTGGCTTAGAGGGTGCTCTCAAACTTCAAGTATATATAGTGTTTATCTAGAGGGGGGTGGGGACAGAGGTGGGTCTGGTGTTGCTAGGCAATCACTAATTGAAGATGAGGAAGATCCACTGGGTACCAAGAAGAGCTGATGGTGGTGACCAGACTTGACCAAAGAAGTTTATGACTAACATCAATTTATTGTTACCTCTCCAGAGGCACAAGTAGGCTTTATCCCTATTTACTGAAGGTGTCAGCAGACTACTGGAAGGCCTAGCAACTACCCAAGGAGAGCCTGTCTCCTGGCCGGGCCTTCTGCTCCTTGCCCCAGAGAGCTTTAAGCTTGCGGTAGTACACCTTGCAGCTGAAACCCTCCTTGAAGCCCCCCCTGATGTGGCTCTTGAGGGAGTGCAAAGTGGGGTACATGCGGCAGCAGGCCGCACACTTGTAGCCATTCTGTTGGGCCGGGTGCCACTTGGAAGCCATTAGGATATCCTGGGATGTAATAGACTCCAACCCATGCATGAATTTCCTGTTGGCCTCCCTGGGGAATGTGTTCTCTTGGGAGGAGGAAGATGAGCAGACACTCTCAGTCACATCCTCAATAAAGCAGTTGTCCCCTCTGCCCTCTTCCCAGTCCACCTCTGGGAACCCATAGGCCTCCACGTGGCTCTCTTTATCTGTACATACGAAGTAGCTGTAAGGAGAAAACCAGGGCCGGTAGATGGTGCAGTTTCGCCTCAGCTGCTCCCCATTCTGGCTGTCCCTCAAGTCTGCAAAGGAAAGGGCAGGATCTGAGTTTGGGGCTGAGGGAAGATTGAAGTGTCTGGAGGCAGTCAGGGAAAGCAGACAGACAGGCAGCCACAACCTCAGGAGACCTGTGCTCCACCTTGGTGATGGCTGAGAGACCTCAGGTGGTGAGGGGATGGGAAGAACAGCCCAAGACATCCATTCCTGCTGCATTCTTTTCCTGCTAGGGAAAATAGCCACTGGGTGTCTGGGCTGGAGACAGACCCTGCCGCCCTGTGTAGACACCACTTGACTTCTGACCTCTAAGGATAGGCAAGGACAGGTAGACAGATATGTGACATCTTAGAATCTTTCTGCCACCAATGGTTTGCCACCAACTTTTCCAGTCTCGGTACCCATTCTAATCCATAGACTGCTGAGACAGAAGCTGGCTCTCCACATGAGCTTGGCAGAGAGGACTGGGGACGTAAGAAGCCTTCATGGGCCTATGGGCCTCTTCTAAAGGAGGTGCGGGGACGGGGAGCACGTGGTGAGTGGATTTGCAGACACCCTTCCCTTTGGGGTTCTGCTCCTGTCCCTTTGTAGCTTCCCACATGGCCCTGTCCTGAATTGGAGAAGGCCTCACCTGGAGAGACCGCGCATCCCATGCCAGAAAACATTGCTATGGTACTGCGGTGGCAGGGCCTGAGCTGGGCTAGACGCCTCAGTGGGTACCTCTGTCTTTGCAGAAGAAACAGTGGTGAACTGAGCAAGACTGACAGTCCTTTTTGGGGGAACTTCCAAGATATACTTTAGAGGCTCACCTTCTCTGTGTTTGGGGATTTGAAAACTGTTGCAAAGCAGTGACCTCTGAACTCAGACAAGCTGACCTGTTCTAGGTGGTGTCCCAGGAAGTCAAAGATAGGGACGTTTCTTCAGACCTAAGAAACATACTTTGGAAACCAGAATATAAGATTTGGCCAAGCCGGCAACATCATGTCTAGCATGATTAAAGCCTTGGTTTCAAACTTTATCACTGGACTTGTCTCAGATGGCACCTTTTCTCCTTGGCCCACGCCTCACCTAATGTTCCTGCTTATCACATGTAGCCTAACCACAAAACTCTGGAACACAGGTTCCAGGATGGACGCTCTGGTCACAGCCCACACAGGCAAGTTGCACGGTCCCTGTGAGAATGAGAAGCAAGCCACATTCTCCAACTGAAGCATTTCTCAGAGGGTGTGTAGGGGCCCTTGTTGCCTTTTGTTTGCTGAAGTTGCTACTAAATCTCAAATGAGGAATTCAGTAAGAAAAGTTTACAGTCATCTAGGGTTGGGGATTAGCTCAGAGGGAGAACACTTGCCAAGTGTGCATGAGGCTCCGGGTTTGACCTCCACTAGGTGGCTCTGCCTTGAACCCGTGGCAATGGCTGAGCTTTGAGGAGACAGAGTTTAAACTTTTCTCTGTAGAGGCAAAGGGATGTTTAGGAGAACTCCCACAGCAGTACAGCTCAATTCCAGCGAGCATAGGAAGCCCTAGAGAATCTTGTTCTGAATCATTGCATCTGGGATCGAGGCCTGGGAAGCTGCCTTTCTCGGCTTCCAAGATACTCACACTGAAGAGCCAGGATCACACTTCAGTTGACAAGTTCTCACGTGTCTCCCTTTGTTCCTCCCTGCGCTCATCAGTTAGCCTACTATTTGCCACTAACTAATGTTTTTTTTTTCTCCAATTTAAGACCAAGTTAATGGGAGGGCCTGCTCTCTATATAGGCAAATCACCCACTTGAGATTTTGTATAGAAGCTGCCTCTAAGGGAAAGAAATATGGCCACAAATGCTTTTGCCGTCTGTCCCTTGCCAGAGATTATGAATCAGCAAGATTTACCAGGAATGCAGTCTTTTGAAAACTTACATTCTCCCCCGACATTACTTGGCTTTCTCAACCAATCATGATCCTATAGCATGATCTGACAGGATCGTGTTTTTCAAACAAAACTCCACTGAGTTTAATGAAGGGAATCCCACATCTTTATGGTCCTAATGACTGCAGCATTTACCTGGCAAGCTGGTGGCAAGTGAGGACATGATATCAGGAAAAGCACTCAGGGCAGAGGAAGAGATTTGAGGTCTAGAAATGGTGAGAAGTGAGAAGTTCTCCATGTTCTGACTACCACGAGGTATGGCGGTCACACAGATGCTCCCAAGAAGCTAGCCAGATTGTCTAGGCAGTAAACATTCTGAATGAAGCTGACATCACAAGGTCCCACGATTCCATTACGAGTTTAAAAGATGGATGTAGTGTTCTTGGATGCAAGACTTTGGCCTTTTAAAAACTTAACTACTTTTTTGTTTTCATTTTTCCTCTTAAAATTTTTAATCATTATGCAAAGGATTAGTTATCATTATAGAATTTTTGAACAAAGTTGTGTTTTAGTAGATTCTTCTCCCTTCTCTGCCCCCTCTAACCACCCAACCCCCACAGCCTTCCCAGCATCATCTTGTTTTCACATCCATGTGCCCTTATGTTCTTTTCCACTTTCCTTAGCATCTCTTTTTATTATTTCTGGGTCTCTTTTTCTAGTATTTTTTTGGACCTTAACGACCCTGACTCTTAAAAGATGTCCAGCTTTTAATCTTTCTGAGTTGGGCCGCCTTGTTTAATATTATAATTTCCACAGGTGCTAGACTAATTCAACAGGGGACCTGGAAATAAACTGGCAAAGCTGTAGCCACCTAATTTTTGACAAAGGTGTCAAAAGCGTGCAACAGGGAAAAGACAAATGGTTCTAGCGAAACTGCATCCGTCTGCAAAAGAATATAGTCAGACCCGCGGTCCTTCCTCCCATGCCAAGGTGACTTCAGAGTAGATCAGAGACAACTACAACCCAGAAATGCTGGAATTGCTAGAGGAAACATAAATACACTTCAAAGTATAGCTATCGTCAAGAGCTTTCTAAGCAGAACTCCAGGGACTCAGGAAATAGCCCCAGGATGGAACTGCATGAAATTAAAAAGCCACTGATAGCAAAAGAAACTCTCGATGGAGTGAACAGGTATCCACAGATGGAAGAAAGTCTCTGGCACCCATACTTCAGGTGGGGGCTATTGGCCAGAATCTAGCTAGCTTGGTTTCTTTCTTTTTTTCTTTCTTTCTTTCTTTCTTTCTTTTTCTTTCCTTCCTTCCTTCCATCCTTCCTTCCTTTCTCTTCCTTCCTTCCTTCTTTCTTTCTCTTCCTTTATTTTTCTGTCTTCGTTGTTGTTGTTGGTGGTGGTGGTTTTTTGTTTGTTTTGTTAGTTTTTGTCATTCCTCAGTAGCCTATCTTGGCTGAGAGAGCCCAGCCAGAAGGAAGACAATTGTAGAGCCATGACGGTGGTGTCGTTTGTCCCCTATTTTCTTTATGCGTGTCCCCGTTTCGTGTTAACATCCCCATGTGTTCCCATATCTAGGACCCTCCGTCCTCTGAGAGTGACCACCTTGCTTTCCTTCTTTCTTATTTTCCTAGCCTCTCCCTCTATTCAGTATTTTTGTTGTCTTGTTCTATTGGTTGTGTTGTTTAGAACATGCTTTTTGATACACATTTGGGAAATAATTTTAATTTCTAAAGTTTGCAAAACTTAAAATTAGTATAAAAACATCCATATACTGTGTAGGTAGATTTTCCTGTTTTAACGTTTTATCCCATTTGTGTTATCAGTTCCTCTTCCAGTCATAATTTGTGTGTATACAAATTATGCAGAAGTGTATGCATGTGTGTGTGTGTTTGTGATTGGGAATGAAACTCAACGCTTTGTATTTGCTGAGTAGGCACCCTACCACTGAACAACATTCCCAGTCCTTAATATGCTTTGTTTATTTGAACTATTTGGAGGTAAGTTACGCTATATCCTTTTATACCTAAACACTTCAACCTATATTTCCTAAGGTTAGGGATCAGATATTGTTTCTAACTGCTGGTGCTCTTTTGGGCAGGTGGCTTCCTGCATCCTACTTCCCTCATTGACAGGTGGCGTGCTGATGAGACTGTGGACTCCGGGGCCGCTTTATCTCTCTGCTTTCCTTTCCTATATAACAGTTTGGCGCCTTAGCAGGGCGTAGAATAAGAGTAAAAGATGATTGTGACCCTTGGAAGAGAAGATTCGGGTGCCTTATTCTGGATCATCGAAGTCCATCAATTTAGCTACCCAGAAGTGGTTTGGATATAAACGGCAATGTTTACGCACTGTCTGAGAAAGACAGTCCCATCCTAAACTCCCGACTATGACCAGCTTGTAGAAGCTCTCCGAGCATTTATTCCCAGCTTCCTGAACATTTGAAGGAATGAGGGAACCTAATTTCCCTCCTGTCTCTCCCCGTGGTGGGCTAAGGCTGCTAGAATGTTGGCAGTGTACACTGAACTTTAATATTTTGGTGGCTCTAAGGTTGTTGACCATGTCATTTGGGTCACCATGGTGTAAGGCAAAGCTCATGGGTCTTGGGGTCAGGTTACATGATTTTGAATCCCCTTTTCCAACAGTTGCCTCTGTGGTGGGCAGCCTCTGCCACTTGGCTTTTCTGTACTGTTTCTTTAGACTGAGTGAGAGTGTGTGAATGGATGTCTTCCTGGATACAATGTAGCAGTTTACATGTGAAAGGTGCATGGATGTGAGTTATCTGCACAGGGTTCAAGTGCAAACTAGGTACATAGAATTCTTGTAAAGGGGGCCCAATATGTCGGGAGGGAAGTTGGGAAGGCTGTAGTAGTGTCTTTTCGTTGTTTTGAAAACACGACCCTGTTTTGATTTAGCTACTGGAGAGTCTGTGGGAACTTGGACTTTCCATGGTTTGCTAAAAAGGTTTGTGGCACAGCCTTGTTCCTGTGTTGTTGCTGATGGCTCAAACAGGAGATACCTCTCTCACAGTGGTTGGTCACTACATAAATGTGTCTTTTTCTCATTTGTTCCCCACCTGCCTTTCGAGCCCTTTTCTCGGACAGGTAAGATCCCCTCTTCCTTGTGGATGATGTATTTTCCCAAATACCCCACCCCTGCTTGAGTATGTGCATGTAATGGGGTGTGACTGGGGGGCTCCCTGCTGGATCCAGTCATCTGCCAACCATTGTCACTGTTCTCAGTCACCAAGACTGGGGCTGAAGGGACAGAGTGTGAGAGGGCCATTAGCAGGAAAGGGGCCCACGGTGGGGACGACAGAAGCCAGCTAGACAGAGAAGATAATGTTCCCTAGCCTGCGCTCACAAGTGCTTGTAGCCACCACCACAGCGAGGGCTTGAGTGCTTCCTGAGACTCTCCCCAAGTCTGGAACCAGCCTGAGTGACTGCTTCTATTTATCAGCCCATCATTGACATGTGGGTTTTCTTTTTTCATAATTCACATAAAAGTCAAATTCAATTAAACTAATTTATTAAATGCTTGTTGTTATGCAAGACCTTGTGGATAATGAAAATACTCTAAGATTCTATAGCCCCTTTCGAGGGCATTCCCATTCTGTTAGATAGACCAGGTGTATTTTCGAGGAAAACTGAGGTGATGATAAAGAAATCATATAATAGATCCACTTTAAATTGCTGAGTTTAAAATATTCACAGAGAAGTACAGAAAATCCAGATGAGGTATCATCTAAGTTGTTGGTTAAAGGTGTGCTTCAAAAGCTCTCCTGATTTACAAATCACATTGATAGGCAGTTTTAGGGTTTCCACCTTAAAAACTGGGTGTGTTTGCTCTAATAATATATAGAAACCACCAGAGAAATAGGAGGTCCAGGAAACAGTGGAGAACTTGCTATTCCTATTACACACCTATAGACCATTGCATACAATTCCTTTCTGTTCTCTGCATTTTCTGGATGGGGGCGGGGGAGAGGGATAGTAAAATTAGTTTCCAAATAACCTTGGCCAGCTTGTGGAGTACCTGAGTAAATAAAACGAAAGGATTTAAGTCATGATAGGCAAATTAGGCCAAAGTGTATGATATGGTAAGATACACTCTTAGAGAATGGTCAGGAACAGCTATGGGGTAGGCTGAGAGCTGTGCCAGTGTACTGGGTGCACATCTGGAGTCCAAACAGCTGGGGACTTGTCCCAAATTCCCTGGCATGTCCCTACCACCACACAGTAATTCCATCCTAGGAGCCCTGAGGATCTGCCAGCCCATATTCCATGAGAAAATGTGTTCATGGGTCAAGGCTACTCAGAGGTAAAGACCATGGAAGTCACCCATGGGTGATAACTCCACTCTTCTTCCCATCGCACTTGCCCTGCCACCCAGGGACCCTTCAAATACAAGTGAATCTAGGTGACTGATCCAATGGGGGATCTGTTAACTCAAATCACAGGAAGCAAAGCATCCCCCCCTGATCTGGAACGCAGCAATTCAGGACAAATGAGACAGAACATGAAGGCGTATCCTCAGGCAATCATAGGAAAGCCTTACTGAGATAGACCCTTAGCAGAACTATTGGCAATGACAGTCCAGGGACCACATGCAACCTCTCTTCGTCCAGATAGACAATAAAGCTATAACAATGGTCACAGATAACTGAGGCTCCAAGTCTGGCTCCTTTAATGACCTGCACGAATGCCTAGGAGTCACCGCATCCTTGGGTTACTATTGCTGTGATGAAACACCATGACCAAAGGCGAGTTGGGGAGGAAAGGGTTTATTTAGCTTACGTTTTCACATCCATAGACCATCACTGAAGGAAGTCAGAACAGGAGCTCAAACAGGGCAGGAACCTGGAAGCAGGGACTGATACAGAGGCTGTGGAGGGATGCTGCTGACTATGTTGATCCCTGTGGCTTGCTCAGCCTGCTTTTCTTAGAGAGGCCAGGACCACCAGCTCAGGGATGGCACCACCCACAATGGGCTGGGCCCTCCTCCATCAGTCACAAATTACAGGCTTGCTTAGGGTGTCACCTTATGGAGACATTTTCTTAGTTGAGGCTGGCTCCCTCCTCTCTGATGGCTCTAGCCTGTGTCGAATTGACATAAAATTATACAGCACCCAGTGTGTGAGCAGCATAGGCGAGCCTGGAGCTCTAACTGTCTCAACAACAGACCTCAGGGCTGCTGCCTCTTGCCCTTCCTCATGCTTCACTGGCCAAGTGGATTGGGGTAGTTCATTTGAGATACGCACTGAATACCTGCTGTGTACCAGGCCCACGCTT